TTTTTAAATATTATTTTATTATATTAAATCTATTAAATATTAAATAGCAATTTTAGTTAAAAATTAGTATATATACTGTATATAATTAATAACCAACAAAATATATTTAATTAATAACCAACAAAATTATATATATTATTATTATTATCGCATATTTCTATGTGACTATTTATTTGCTCAATTAGTAATTAAGTATTTATAATTTACAATACAATAATGTACTGTACATTGATAATATCATACAGTATAACCTGTATAATAATAATATGCAATATATTTACTAATATGATTTATCAGTGTCAGTGCATTAAGTATATCATTAATATATTGTATAAAATTTAATTTCAAATAATATATTAAACTATACAATATACAGTATAATTTATATATATATAGTATATAACCTAGCAATAAATTAAATGTCAAAATTATATGAAACATCTAACTTATAATTGTTGTCAATCATATTATTAATTTTATTAATAATAATAATAATACAGTATTTCAATGATATATTGAAAATAATAAAATTAATCTATTAATATTATCATATAGTATTTAAGTAGATTTTTTTTTTAGTAATACCTTATCAAACATTGTTACTAATAATAACTTAATTTTTTTCACAAAAAAAAATCATAACATTATTTACTTACTTTATTAATAATAATGTTTTTTACAGGTATTTATTATTTACACTACCAGTGTTGTTTGATATAAAAAAAATTGTGTAATTTTTAGTAATGTTAATAATCTTATATGCAATATATCATTATTATTATTATTATTATTATTATTATTATCCTAGGTACATTTTGTCAGGTGGTAAATTATGGTTTACTTGATTATATAATACATATTATATATATATATATATATATATATATATATATATTGTTGTAAACAATTATATCAATTACAATAAGTTTTTTTTATAGTGTTTTACATGATTTATACAAAAAAATATAATAATTTTTTTCTGTATATATTAGATATATATTTATTATTATTTTTTGATTATTTATATTAATAATAAGACTAATAAAAAAAAATATTATTTTTAATTTCACAAAATAACTATTTATTTATATATTTGTGTGTGTATAGAAATTTTTAAGCTTGTTAATTTTTTTAAAAATATAATCAATAGTTAATTTTTTTTTTTAAAAATATTTCTAATTAATAGATATTCATATCTATTAGAATAAAACAAAAATAATTTTTTAATTTGTTTGTAATTTTAATAAAAAATTACTATTAAATTAATTAAACAAAAAATGGATAACAAGTCTAATAATTATGACAACAATATAGACCAACAACAACAACAACAATCTAACGTATATTATGCTAACAGTGCGCCACCATTGGTGATCATCAACCAACAGCCCCAGTCAACTACTACTACTACCGGTAGTACCGGTAGTCCTAACCAATTAGTGGACAACCCATCGGACGACAACACGACGACTAATGATGACATCACTGCCGATGGCCAATGTAATCAATGTTGTTCCCGGTGTTGCCTAAACATGTGTCGTATACTACTGTTTCCCTGTCGGTGCTCCTGTCGGCCAATCAAACCCTACCGGTGCTGTCGGTCGTGTTGCGAAACACCCGGCGATTATTGTTGTATACTATGTGGTTGTATTTGTCTATGTTTTAGCTGGATATTACAGGGCATTAAATAGTGATAATAATATTTTTTTTTTTTTGAAATTTAGTATCAATTTTTTAATTTAATTTTTTTTTTGATAATTTGATATTTTTTTAAATAAAAAAACTTGTGTAATATGTTTATAATATTTTTTGTTAAATTTTATGTGAAAAAATATATTTGTTTTTTATTCAATAATTTAATTTTGAATTATTATAGTAATAGTTATGAAAATTTTGAAAGTTTTTATACAATATTTATCTTAATTTAGTTGACATTTATATAACAATTAACAATAATAATAATAATAAATTAATTAAGTTATACAAAGTACTCTATATGTATATAATATTTATAAAACAATATAAAAAATTTTATTATTTAATTATTATTATTTATAGAGGAATTTTTATAACTATTATATAAAAATTAAGTCATTTTATTAAATATATTTTTATTTTTTAATTATTTAATTAATAAAAAAAATTAATAAAAGTGTAATTACAATAATTGTTTTATTATTAAAAAAAACAATGATTTCTAACATAAAATCTAATAATTATAAATATATATTTTTTTAATTAACATTAGTAATGCAAACTTTTATTTAAGTTAAATTAAATAGTTTAAAAAAATATATTGTTTACCTAAAAAAAATAAATATTATTTTTAAATCTAGTATTATTAGCAATAATAAAATATTCCTTGATTTTTTAAATTTTATGTTAAATAATAACATTAACCAAAAAAAAAATAAAAATATATCATTTCAATAAAACTATATATCTATAACTGATTGATAGATAATAAAAATAAAATAAATTTTTTTTTATAAATTTTTTTTTATGTTAACTACTGCTAACTGGTATTTTCACAGTAGTAGTAGTAGTAGTAGTAGTAGTAGTAGTAATATCTATTTAAAAAATTTGTTTAAATAATTAAATAATTTTTTAATATAAATATTTTAAAGTTTTAAAAAAAATAAATCAATTATCTAATAGTATTTAATATAAATATTTATTTTATATTTATCAGTATTTTTTTTAAAAAAATTGTTTGCGAAATGTGTATTTAAATATTATTTATTAAATTAATTTTTGAATTTATTTAATTTATTTATATAGTATAGAAATTTTGACAATTATATTGAACACAATTTATATTTTGTATTAAAAATAAATACAAAATATACATGTAGATTTTTGAATTTATTTAATCTGAATTAATTAATTTTAAAAATATATATATATATATATTTATTATCGTACAATAGTTTAAAATAAAAATTTTATATTATCTAAATAGCAAAAATTGTGTAATTATATAATATCAATGTACTTTCAAATCAATATTATAAATTAGCTGATTATTAAAGTATAAAACATTTTTGATAAAAAGTCATACAAAAAAATGATGTATATATATATTGTAGACTAAATTTTTAAGTTATTATAAAATTACTTAAATATTTAATACAATTATTTAATATTTAATACAAATATAAAAAAATGGCAAATATTTCAAATGATATAATCTGTGAAATTCATGACATTTGTGGCAAACAATTGGGTGGAAAGTGGGCTAAAATTAATAGAAATAATGTTATTATTGAAAAAATATCGTAAGTTTTTTAAAAAATTATTTATTTATTTTTAGATATAAATATTTTTTAAAATAAAATATTATATTTAATAAAATTATATTTGTTTTATTATTATTATTTTTTTTAAATAAAATTGTAGAACAGGTTTAATGAATTCAATATTTAAATGTCAATTTGTGGATCAAATCGATGACAATCGTAATAATAATAATAATAATAATAGTAACATATGTAATGGCAATCATCTATTGATGGCAAACATAGACAACAACGACAACAACAATACAATTGTTATCAGATTTTGCGAAAAATATTTCTATAATAATACATTTGATTTGAAAACTATAGCATATATGACACAAATATTATCCGACAATCAATTGACACCAAAAGTGTTGTCCGTTTTTGATACAGGAATTATCAGTCAGTTTGTTAATGTAAGCAATTTTAAGGATATATTTTTTTACAAATATATAAAAATCAAGTTTTATTTTATATTATAATTTGTTTTATTGTAAAAGAGTCGTTCGTCCACCACTTGTCGTATATTTCTCGTTTTGTCATTTTCTATGACCGTGTCTTCAAAACTCTCTTCATTTGATCTGTGGTTGAATCCTGAGATGATTTCTGATATTTCGTTGAGTGTCATATTGGGATCAAAATCTTCACCCAAAAATTCTTGTAGCCCTAAATAATGTCTAACGATTTCCCGCGACATCTTCTATATCTATATCTCTTTCTATTATCTGATTATCTGTAGACAATCTGGTCCACAGTCTTAGTTTCAAAACTCGTGACAATCTGGTACACGTGTTTAAGAAACTTCTTATTTTAGCAGACAATCTGGTCTACTTCTTGAAGATCCTCTGTCTTCTCTTCTATGGCACCTTCACCACTTGGTTAGGACACCTCTCTTTTTTTTTATCTTCTGATATCTATTGACGATCGGCGCCTCCACCACTTGGTTAGGACACCTTTCTTCTTTTATCTATATCTATAGACGACTGGCGCCTCCACCACTTGTAGTGGACAGGGGTTTAGTCGAATCCACTTCAAGGAACTATAGCTCAAATTGATGAACTTCTGGTACTCGGGGTATCTTTCGGAAAATATATCCGGTCTATAGATATCCTTATTCTTAGAAATATAGATCTCTATGTTCTCTATGTCGGTTGAATCGATTAGACTACTATTACAACACTCATAATCACTGTTACACTCATAATAAACACATGTTTTCGTATATTCATAACTTATTTACTAATTTAATGAAATACTTCTCTTTATTCAAAATACTTTTATTAAACACTTAAATTCATTGATAATTAGATTAAATACATGTATAATTAAAATATAAAATAAATGATATTATAATTTATGACTTTTCAATAGCACACCCTTTTAACACTCGGATCTTAACATGACTTCCCTCTACGACAGCATAGCACACACTGCTAACTACTCTGCATACTGACTACTGCACACTCTTTCCCTCTTTTTCACCCCCTTTTATAGTCATATCATATTAACATAGATTATTGATTAAACATAAGATTATTGATAAGTTGAGAATAATATGAAATAATAATTGTAAATCTTAGAAAATAATAATATTGAATATCTATTAGTAATAAATGTTAAAATATGAAATTGAATAGATTTTATGGCCTTATATCATATAAATCGGGTTATCCATTACACCCCCGCACTAAGAGTTGGCCAGTCTCTGGACACTCCTATCTATTCATCTGATTCTTCTATGTCTTCAGTCTTGTTTTCCTTTTTCTTTTTATTCTTCGTCTCGTCGTCTGAATTATTCTCATCTCTTGAATTGTCGTTAAATTCATCTCCAGTTCCCGACTCGTCGTTCGATTTGCCTTTAGTTTTCGACTTGTCGTTCATTTTATTGTCATTTTTCTTCTTCTTCGGGTTCTCTTTCTTCTTTCTCATCTCATTGTCGTTATTTTCATCGGAACTGTCGCTACTTTCATCCCATTTTACGGTTCGTGTGATGTTTTTCATACCCTTATATTTCTTCGAGTTTTGTTCGGCTTTAGTCTTATTATTTTCTCCACTGCTTTCTCCATATTTCGCTGCATCGGCTTTTGGTGTCTCATAATATGTTTTCATTAACAAAGCGTTTTGTTTGATTCTAATGTCTTGATTGCTGGACATGACTGATGGTTCCCATGAATTCTTCGGTAAGTAATTCATGACTGATTTCGTCGGCATCTCTGCTATCGCTCTGTTCATTAGCTGATTCGGTTGCAATCCGTAATAATTTATCGGAACTTTCGGTTGTCCTGAATGAGTAAATATTCTTCCATACGGTTCATGAGGTTTATAGTCCTTGTAATGCTGATTCAATGGAACTAATTCGTCTACATTGGCATTCATTCGGGCAAACTTAATGATGGTCTCTATCATCGATCGGTGAGTATTGATAGTGTCTCTATACTCGCGTCTATCTTTTGTATGAGCTTCGGAAACTTTGGCCACTTTTGTCGACCATTCGTATTCAATGTCGGCTTCTCTTTCTTCAAACTTCTCGAGTCGTTGTCTCAACTTTTTGTTGTCCTGTTCGAGAGTTTCCTGTCTTTCAATATTGAATACTTCATCGTTAGTTGTCTTCAGGTCTTCCTTAGCCTTTTTCATCTTCTTCTCGTGATTTTCTTTCATCACTTTATTGATCTCTCTTTGAGTATCAATTTCGCTCTCAAGTCTTCGGTTAGCTTTACTCAATTCTTCGACTTTGTTCTCTAGCTTTTGAATGTCTTCTTTCTGATTCATTGCCATTTGTTTGTATTGTCGATTGAGTTCCTCTTCGGCTTCGTTGGCGTCGTTTTCATATGATTTGGTTTTATTGATCTCCACTTTTTCGGTTGTTTCTCCAGTCAACTCCTTTTTCTCTTCATTTCTTAAATCTTGCTTTTTCTGGTGATTCTTCAACGCTTCTAGGATCTCATTGGTGATCAATGGCTTATCTTCATCTTCTTTGTGATCCATTTCTCTGTCTTTTATTTATTTTCCGCGAATTTCTTTTGTTTTGTTTTACTTTTCTGTTGACATCTGATTTCAATTAACTTATAGTTCTATTCATTATTTTTATTTTTATTGATGTAATAAAAATATTTTAGGGATCTTTTCGTAATCTACTTTCCCTTTCTTAATGCTTATTTCTATTCGTTTTGTTCTCAATTATTATTTAAGGGATTACTTCAAACTTTTCTATTGAAAACTTTTTCTATTATTAATATATTAATATATTTTTTTTTTCATTCATTATAATCACTTTTTTTTCAAATTATTATCTTTTATTCATATTTCTTAAGCTTTAATATTGACATCATTTTCTTATGAATCTCATGCAATGGTTAAACATTTATCTTTGATTTCATGCATTATGTTAACTATTTACGATGTCTTCATCTTCAGGTAATTGATTATCGTTTTACTTACTCTTCTTAAGTCTTGATCGTAGAACTCTTCTTCAATACTGTTCACACAATCTTTTTCTTTTCTCCTATTTTTCAATGCCGTCATCCATTTGTTAACGGTTCTGATGTTTGGGTTTCTGATGACCTTCTCTATGCTAATCATTACTTTTGAATCCATCACTTCGTGGTGTCTTTGATAGCATTCATATTGGTTAATCCAAATAATCAATATTTCTTTGTCTTTCATTTTCGTGTGTCTTCGTTTCATTAAATTTTTCAACTGATTTTGAATTCAATTTTAAGGTATTAACCCTTTTCTTAAAATATTTGATTTTCACTTCACTTTTCTATATCAAAGTTCATATCATATCGTATTTCAAATTCCTATCTTTTCTAATATTTTTCATTATATAACTTATTTTCTTAATATATATTATTTTTCTGTTTCATTGCATTTTCATTTTATTCTCTTAAATATTATTATTATATTATTTGTTTATATATTAGTTTATATTTGAAAATGCAATTATCTCTATATTTTATATTACTGTTTCTGTATTCCCAACCACTTCGGTCGGCTTTTTCTTCTCGAACTTCTTCTTAAATTATCGACTTCTTGTCGACTCTTCTCTTCTTTCTCTAGATTCTTGTAGTCATTATCTACAGTTGACTTTTCTTTTGATTTAATAGTTCTGTTGTCATATTCATAAGGTAATCTCTTCGGCGGATCTTCACATCTTTCATAATATGGTTTCAACTTATTTATGTGAATTATATCAAAATGTGGTAAATTCTCGTCGATTTCTCTTATTGTGTAATTCACTGGACCTGTTCTGCTTTCGATAATGTATGGGCCTATATATCTTGGAAGTAGTTTCGAATACTTCTGCATCTGTAGATGTGGTCTTAATACTAAAACTTTTTGTCCGATTTCGAACTCATATTCTACTCTCGTTTTGTCGATTCTCTCTTTATTCTTCTCTTGACTTTTTCGAATCGATTCTCTGATTAATTTTCTCGATATCTCTAAGTGTTCTAACTCTTGATCTCGAGTCTGTGGTTCTTCAGGATCTTCATATCCCATTCTCTCTACTAGTGGATCAATACATTCTCTTCCGTAAAATATATAAAACGGCGTTTTTCCTGTGACTGTATGTATTGTAGTATTATAAGCTCTTGCAATATGACTCGTATATCTGTGCCAATCTTTCTTTAGTCCGGTCAATATTGCTAACGAAACTCCTATTACTTTATTGAAAGTCTCTGTCTGTCCATTCGAATTAGGATTATATGATGTCGTTGTGATATGTCTTATACCATAATTTTCGTAGAATTCTATCATTCTTCTGCTGCAAAAATTCGTTCCTCGATCTGTCAATATTTCTTTTTTTTGTCCAAAATGTGCAAAAACTGATTGATGTAAACATTCAATAATTTCTTTATCTGTTGCTCTTCTCAATGGATAAATTAACGCAAACTTTGATAGTCTATCATTAATTGTCAAAATATAATTATGTCTCTGAGCTGATGGTATTAGTGGACCAACAATATCCATACTAATCGATGTCCAAACTTTCTTCGGAATCTCCATCGGCTGACTAAGACCTCTCTTTTTCGTCGTATCTAATTTTCTAATCTGACACTTATGACAAGTCTTTACATGTCTTCTAACATCTTCTCTCATTCCCATCCAATAGAAATTATTTCTAATCTTGTCGTAAGTCTTGTGTTTTCCCAGATGTGATGAGTATTCATGACAATGGTATAACACTTCTTTTATCAATGTCTGTGGCACACATAGTAGCCATCTTTCGCTTCCGTCTGATTCTTTATCTTTGAAATATAATAAGTCTTTGTATACAACGTATCTTTTGCCGTATCTTTCATTATCTCTTTGATTGTCAATTCTGTTGATAACAATCTCTATAATCTTGGACCACTGCTGATCTTCTCTTTGTTCTCTAATCGTCTGATTTCTGGAAATTTTCAATTCTTCCCCTTCTTCAGCGATAAAGGTCTCTTTAAAACTCTTGATATTCAGGCGAGTATCCATGCACTCTTCTCCTGTATCTTCTATTGTCAATGGACATTCTTTCGTATCTAATCCAATCGGTAAATTTCGACTTAAGTAGTCTGCATCGACATGTCTTTTTCCACTGTTGAATCTGATATCTAAATCATATGATTGTAATATTAGTCCCCAATTGCTTAGTTGACTATTCGGGTTTCGAAATCTCAATAAATGACACAATGCATGACAATCTGTTATCACTTGAATTCTTCTGCCATTCACATAATGTCTTAGCTTTTGCAATGCGAATACAATGCTTAGGCATTCTAGATGTGTCGCTCCTTTCGCTTGCTCTGTATATGTCGTTGATCTGCTAACACATGCTAATAATTTCGGACCTTCTGGTTCGATCTGAAGTAGATGTGCTGCTATTGCTTTTTTCGATGCGTCTGATCTTAACTGAAGTTCATATTTTGGATCATAATATGTCAATACTGGCGGTGATAACACTGCATTCTTCAGCTTCTTATATGCTTCTTCTTGCTCTGTATTCCAAATCCATTTCACATTCTTCTTTAACAATCTATGTAATGGTTCGGCTATTTCTGCAAATCCTTTGACAAACTTTCTGAAAAATCCAACATATCCTAGAAATGATCTCAATTTTGTCACTGAGTCTGGTGCTGGTATGTTTGCCAATGAACTAACTCTTTCAGCGTCTGGTAACAATCCTTTATCTGTTATCATGTGTCCTAAAAATGGTACACTTTTCATACACATTCTGCATTTGCTTGGCTTTAGCTTCAAGTCATATGCTCTCATTCTTTCGAAAATCTCTATTAATCTCTGAATATGTTCTCTGAATCCTTTGCTATAACATAATATGTCATCCATATAAAAGAATAAATATCTTCTCGTCATCGGTCCTAATATCGTCTGCATAACTCTGCTGCAAACTGCTGGACTCAAATGTAATCCAAATGGTAAATAATTGAACTGATATAATCCTTTGAAAGTTGTAAAACTCGTAACTTCTTTTGTTTCCGGTGACAATCTGATTTGCCAGAAGAAACTCGCACAGTCCATCGTTGAATATAAATCTGTATCAGCTAAACATGTGATGAAATCTTCCATCAACGGTATCGGATAGCTATCTCTTCTAAGAACTTGATTTACTTTTCTATAGTTAACGCAAAATCTGAGCGTTCCGTCTCTCTTGTCTACTAATACTACTGGTGAACTCCACGCTGACTGACTCGGCGATATTATGCCTCTCTTGAGCATATCTTCAATCATTTCGCTGAGCACTTCTTTCTCTTTCGGCGATGTCTTATAAGGTTGACATGACAACGGTTTTTCATCACCTACTGGTATCTTATAATCTAATCCTTTAATTCTTCCGAGTTCATCTTCTCCGACTGCGAATCGGTCTCTATATCGACATAATACTTCTTGTAGTACTTCTGTCTCTTCTTTCGTTAAATGTTTTCCAGTTTTGAATAATTTTAAGAACTTTTCTTTTTCTTCTTTAGTCATCTCTTGAGTGACTTCTTTTGTTTCATTGAAAGGCTTCACTGATCCGATCAATTCTTCTTTTAATTCTTCTTTAGTCTCTATGACTTCTGTAGTATCGTTTAATTTAGTTATCGTTGCTATTGCACTGTTCTTTCTAAGTCTGTGTTCGACATTCTTCTTGTTTCTGACTACTAGTTGTACGGATTCGTTATCTTCATCAACATAACCCATTCCAACTTCTATTCCATTTTCTTTGTATAAATCCCTCGTCTCTATGACGGCAGGACTTTTCTCTTTATCAGTTCGCATGCATTCAACAATCATTTCGGATCGCGGCGGTAAACGAACTGTTCTCATCGTCTTCATATGACCAATTGTCATATTAGCAAATACTTTTGCTGAACTCTTTTTCTTCGCTTTGCGTTTGTCTTTCTTAGACTTCTCGCGACTATTTTTCTCTAATTCTTCTGACTCACCCGAACTTGAATTGTCCGACTCTTGGTTCGAACTATCTGTCGGTTCAGTCACAATCATACTCGACAATGTCTTTCCATTATCGTTCTTTTCTTTTCTTTGATACTCTTCGTAACCGTCATTCTTAATAATCCATCGCTGATTAGGCCATGAATTTATAATTTCTTTGGCCGCTGCAACAACCATTGAACTTTCTTTTCTCGTTGATACTACACTTCTATACGGCGGTACTGAACATTCGGAACTCTTGAGATACTTCAGATATTTCTCATTTAAGCAATCTTCAGCGTCTCTTATCATTCTTCCCTTCCATATACACACCAAATTCATTGACTCGCAAAAGTCATTTCCTAATATCACTGGCGGATTCTTTATGTTGGATACAGCTACTGCTATATTCAAACTCTTATTCTTCATCGATATTCTCACACTTGCGATATATCCTAATGGATAAGTCGTTCTTCCGTCAGCTGTTTCCATAGCTCTTCTTGGCCACGGTTTCAATCGCTTTCCTAAAGCTTCTGCTAATTCTTTGTTTATAATCGTTATACTGCATCCAGAGTCTGTTAACGCTTTGACTGGTATTCCATCGACTAACGTCTGGATGATGGGTACATTTCCTAAATCTAATCTTTCTAAGACTTCCTCCATTGTCTTCTCATAGTTGAAAGTAGACCAATGCTTTGCAATTGCCGGGTCTTTCCACGGATCAACTTCTTTTGGCTGCACTGGCACTAATTCCCTCCCACTTGAGATATGACTTCCACTGTCATAACTTCTCGGCTCTTTATTATTTCGATTGAAGTTTCTTTGATTCTTGTTATAAAAATTTCTCGGTTTTTCTACGATTTTCTCATTTAAAGGTTCTTTCGTTTTTAGCCATTCTTCATATCTTTTCTGACTGTTTTCCCGATCTCTCGGTGATCTGCAGTCTCTTGACATGTGTCCTGGTTTTCCAGAATTGAAACAATAAAATGATTGTTTATTCTCTCTTAGTTCATTGCCGGCTTTGATATGTCCGGTTGAATCTTCTCTGTTGTCTCTATTTCTTGATCTGAAAGTGATATCCCTTCTTGGATATGGTTTCTTCGGTTCATTCTGTCCTCGAAGTCTTTCAGTCATTTCTCTGTTTCGTAAATATATCCTGACTTCTTCTGGATTCTTTGCCATCGATATTTGATTGATTAAATAGTTGTCTCTCAATCCAACTCTAATACGATTCATCACTGTTAAGGTATTGTCTCCTTGAATCTTCTTCGACAATCCTAATATTCTTGTAACGAACTCCGATGGTCTTTCATCTGCTCTTTGACATGCAGTTGATAATTGGTTATAAGCTGTGTCTTGACCTTCGCCCAAACCATACCATTCTCTGAACTTTTCCTCGAAATCTTCCCAATCTTTTGGATTATTTTCGGGATATTTATAGTCATAAAAGTCTAATGCATTTCCTTCTAAATACTGATTAACGTTCTTCACTTTGCTCTTTGATGACCATTGCTGTGTCTTAGCGAAACGATTATAGTTAGTTAACCAATCACTCGCTTCTTCTTCCTTTCCGTTGAATTTTGGCGCTTTACCGAAGTGACTCTTTGGCATCTTTCTATCTTCCAAAATTTCTCCCAATCTATCGACTAATAAGATCATTGGATCTACTCCTTGATCGTCTTCTATTGGTGTCGATTGCTTCTGTTTGTAAATATTCACTCTACGAGGTGGTGAATCTTCTTTATAGTCATCTAAATCTTCATTTATTTGGTCATCTGCTACTTCAATACTTGATATAACCTTCTGTTTCTTTTTGTTATCCACTTTAGGATCTGTTGTAATCCAATCGTATTGACTGTCTCTCGGAAATGATGTCGTCTTTGACTTCGTTATTCCCCAGTCTTTCAATACATTATCTGAATATATGGTTTCTGTCGTCTTATTTTCTACATTTGTAGTCGTCTTTTGCTGAGATTTTGACTCTTTGTCTAAATATATTTCATTTCCTGTGGCATTGATATGCTTAGTTAATGTCGTCTTCAACGGCTGCTTCTGAATTATTTTCGGTTCCAGCGGTTGTCTGTCTCTTTCTATAGCTGTTGATTCAAATTGATGTCTTTTCTGTAATGTCTTTGGGTTTGTTATGTCCGACTTTTTCTGTTCCGTTTGCTTCTCCAAAATAGGCATTTGCGGACTCTTCGCCTCTTTAGTCGATTTTTCGGCTTCTAATCTCTTTCGGTAATCATTTAATGTTTCGGGACTTATGGGTGGCTTTCCTTGTGCTATTCGGCTCTGATAAACGTTTAATAATTTTAACCTTTCTTCGGTTTTCGCTATTTCTTTTCTTATGAAGTCTTGTTGAGAAGTGGTTAATATCTCTGCCTGTTCTCGAAGACCTTCTATTTCTGTATAGTCTTGATTAGAGTTATCTATTAAATCACTGGTTCCTAATAACTCTTCTATTTCTTTAATTGCACTCAAGTTTCTTCTATTATCTGTCTCTTGAGGTTCAATAAGCGGTGCTTCTGTTTCAAACATATTTTCATCCACCACTTGTCGTATATTTCTCGTTTTGTCATTTTCTATGACCGTGTCTTCAAAACTCTCTTCATTTGATCTGTGGTTGAATCCTGAGATGATTTCTGATATTTCGTTGAGTGTCATATTGGGATCAAAATCTTCACCCAAAAATTCTTGTAGCCCTAAATAATGTCTAACGATTTCCCGCGACATCTTCTATATCTATATCTCTTTCTATTATCTGATTATCTGTAGACAATCTGGTCCAAAGTCTTAGTTTCAAAACTCGTGACAATCTGGTACACGTGTTTAAGAAACTTCTTATTTTAGCAGACAATCTGGTCTACTTCTTGAAGATCCTCTGTCTTCTCTTCTATGGCACCTTCACCACTTGGTTAGGACACCTCTCTTTTTTTTTATCTTCTGATATCTATTGACGATCGGCGCCTCCACCACTTGGTTAGGACACCTTTCTTCTTTTATCTATATCTATAGACGACTGGCGCCTCCACCACTTGTAGTGGACAGGGGTTTAGTCGAATCCACTTCAAGGAACTATAGCTCAAATTGATGAACTTCTGGTACTCGGGGTATCTTTCGGAAAATATATCCGGTCTATAGATATCCTTATTCTTAGAAATATAGATCTCTATGTTCTCTATGTCGGTTGAATCGATTAGACTACTATTACAACACTCATAATCACTGTTACACTCATAATAAACACATGTTTTCGTATATTCATAACTTATTTACTAATTTAATGAAATACTTCTCTTTATTCAAAATACTTTTATTAAACACTTAAATTCATTGATAATTAGATTAAATACATGTATAATTAAAATATAAAATAAATGATATTATAATTTATGACTTTTCAATAGCACACCCTTTTAACACTCGGATCTTAACATGACTTCCCTCTACGACAGCATAGCACACACTGCTAACTACTCTGCATACTGACTACTGCACACTCTTTCCCTCTTTTTCACCCCCTTTTATAGTCATATCATATTAACATAGATTATTGATTAAACATAAGATTATTGATAAGTTGAGAATAATATGAAATAATAATTGTAAATCTTAGAAAATAATAATATTGAATATCTATTAGTAATAAATGTTAAAATATGAAATTGAATAGATTTTATGGCCTTATATCATATAAATCGGGTTATCCATTACATACAGTATATAATTAATTAAAACATTTTTATAATAATACCATTTTTTTAAAAAAAGTTTTCAATATTATTAATCAAAATTTAATAAATTATATTTACAACAACAACAACAAATATATAGTACATAATATATATTTATATACATCAATATATATATATTTATACATATCAATATATATTTATTTATTTTTTAGACATCATTTATTTTATCATCAAATGTTTTATATATGAAAAAATAATAAACGAAAACTATTATATATATAACGGGTTTATGTTATATATATATTGATATATAAATAAATTTATATATATAACTACATATTTGTATTGATCATCGTTTTGAAAATAGTCGGCAAAATTGATTTATCTCTTATACGATGCTCTCCTCCTCCTCCCTCTCCTCTCTCTACTCCCTGTCCTCTCTCTACTCCATCTCCTCCATCAATGATAGTCTTATTATGATAAGTGGTCAACGATTTGCAAACACTTTGAAAACAGTTTTGTTGAGTCAAACAAAATTGCTTGAAAAACGTTAGACTATAGCCAGACATAAGTTGATTAAACCATTCAATTGTCTCATAACACGATCGCTTCAATTTAGTATTAAGTATATGTTGGCTACAGTTTCTCATTGACATATAGCTACTATAGTAATAATAATAATAATAATAAGTAATGATATATCATATTATATTTATATATATATATTATGGATTTAACATAGCATAACATAATATGAATAATAATAATAATAATAAAATATAAGATAAAATATTTTTTTCACAAAACATAAAATAGTTATAGAATTTTTCTATATATATATATTCGAAATATTAATTAATATAAATTATTATTAAAAATAAACTAAATTTAATTAAATAAAAAAATATATACTGTATATTATTATATAAGTTAAAAATTATTTTCTCTACATATAGTTTATGGTTTATTTTATTTAATAATAATAATAATAATATAATTAATTAATTAACTTATATTTATAGAATAAATGCAAAACTGTAACCAAAATATTAAAAAAAAAATTGAGAAATATTCTGATAATTAATTATTCATAGCTAATAGTGTTATATATTATTATTATTATTATTATTATATTTAATATTTTTAATGATAAATGGATTCATATATTTCTAACTATTTATATATATATTGATATATATGTATATATTTACCAACAAAGATGAGTTAGTTTTTCGATGCCCACAACCCGGTGCTCAATGAAACCCATGTAATCAATCATATCTTCCATACAGTGATGCAGATCATCGATGACCTGATTATGTAATATAATATACAGTATAGATAAATATATATATAAATATAAATATATATATATATCTTTTTAAATAATTAATTATAACATAATTTTTTGGACATTAGCTTTAATAACACAAAACAGGTTATAATATTATTATTATTACTATACTATACTACTGGTAATTATATTATTATTATTTTTTAGTTTTATTTATTTCTAGCAAAATAAGTGTCTGTTTTAGTTACCATAACTAGAAAAATAATTGTTGTTATTATTTTTGTTTGTTTGTTAATGTTGTTGTAATAAATATTAATAATAATTATTATTCCAACTAAATAATTATGTTTTATATTTTTAAATTGAAAATCTGTATATATTTAAAAAAAAAATTAAAATCTAATTATATACTATTATATGAATTTTTTTTATAAAATAATAAAAATTGTTATCTATGTTTATTTTTTTATTACTTATTTTTTATTACTTATTTTTTATTACTTATTTTAAACAAATCTAATTTAGTTATATAACTAATTTAATTGTTATAATAAATTATCTAATTTTATATATATATATATAAATACTATATATATATGTCAGATATATAGACATTTAAGTTAACATTATTTTTATGATTATTATGAATTCAATATTTTAAATAAATGATATTAACATTTCTATGAATTTAAGTTATACTAAGTTAACAATTGATATTTCAATTTAGCTATAATTTTAGAAATAGTTTTAAATATCTGTACTAAACTTTGAACACAAATATGCCGATACTTTTATCCCACTATTTCTAATTGTATATCATATACACCGATAGTATATTCATAAATATACTGTACATTAACTTTTATTATATCTATTTTTGTTTAACAATTTATAATTAAATACATTTACAAAACATACTGTAAGCACACATACATACATATATCAATACAATATAAAATCAAACAATAAACAATAATCTAGGTCAAACTGACCCCACTATATGTTAATCAATTGACAACTATTTTTGTATATAAATGAGAGGACAACTAGTTATCGGTACCTCTCGTTTAACTCCAGTTTGTGTATCACATATACTGTACATACATTATACTGTATTTTGTTTTTAAAAGTTTTTATTAAATAAAATAAATGTTTTTTAATTCAAATAAGTTTTAATTATTAAGTGATAACTATTCAAAACAAATCAACTACAGTCTAATCTGACATATATATATAACTTATAATGTATTGAATTAATTTTATGTACTAATAATTATAGTTCTAATTTTTTTTTAAATTAATTAATTAATAATAATAATAATAATTATTATTATATTTTGTATAACATTTCAATTTTCAACACAAACCTTATTAATACAAACAGTATTAGCAAACAATTGTTTGGTTGGCGTAACCGTACGATTGCATAGTTTACCGGATTGTAGACGCATTTGATTAACCAATTTTCTGGTTACCAATCGCTGGGTTGTATGTCTGGGTAGACAATGCCTTACATAGTCGTCGATATCCCTGAGCCACGACTGACGTACTGAACAATAATAGTCGTATTCGTCTCGCGAGACCAGAAACCTGTTGCGTCGGTCGCCGATAACAAACAAATTGCTACCGCTTTCGTCTACGGCCAGCAACCGACTGGTCATACACTCGGTGTCGACGTTGGCGGCAGTCATTTGATGGTCCGCTCGGACGGACCAGGTATTCATGTATAGCTTCTGTACTAAACATATGACAACAACAACAATACTGACTGTCCAAATGCCAGTGTATTTAATTGTGATCATAATATTAGAGGTTTTTTTTAAATATATATATTTTTTAGATAAATTATTTTTTTTAAAAAAAAAACTTAATGTATATGTTATTTATTTATATGTATTTACTGTACAGTATTATCAATATTTCAAATATGGTATTTAATTAATTATTATTAAAAAAATAACCATATTAAATTAACAATAATAATAATTAATTAATTAATTAATTTAAAATCAATTATCTACTATATATTTAGTACTACGTTATAAATTATTATTATTTTTTCACATAATATATACAATTATATTATTTAAAAAAATTATTTAAACATATCATTTAAATAATTAATAATTATTTTTATTGAAAACAAAATGCGCATAATAATTTTGTTTATTACTACTATTATCATTATCAATTTTGGTATGTATTTTACAATAATATTTTTAATTATTATTTTTTTTAGTTATTGAAAACCAATAATATTTTTTATAATAAATCTTATAATAATAATAATAATATATTTATATTTAGATATGCTATCAACTGATGTTAAATATGATGAAGAAATGATCGTAAAATCATCGGTCAGTAAATACGGTTACTATGAATGTCCTGATGGTTATACTACTTGTATAACTGTTTGCTGTAATACTACTATACAAACATGTACTCATCCCCACAATTCAGATGGTAAACCAATTGACTATTGTATAGATAATGATTGGTTGGAAACAGTTGATGAAACTGATGACAATAACGATTGACAACTAAAATTAAAATTATTGATTTTAATAATAAAAAAAATATTTTAACTTTAAATGTTTAATTTTTTATATTAGGTATACCTAACATATCCTATTAATTCAAAAAAAAAATAACTAAATAACTAAATAATTGTATATTATTTTTATGTGCTGGTACTTATATATAAATTTAATTACTGTAACTTAAATTTGAAAAACTAAACAATAATAATCTATTTTTTAGTTAAAAAAAATGATTTTATTATACAAAACAAAAATTAAATATTTTATTTACAGACAAAAATATACAGTATATATATATATATGCTGTTTATATATATATATAACAATTTTATTAGCAATATTATAAAACTTGATGATTGATTGATATTTATTTATTTTGTTTTTTTTGTTGTTGTTGTTTAATATATGATATATCAATATATTGTATATAACGTTATATTGAGAGACATATCAAAACACATAATGTCATCATTTATTTTCTTATTATTATTATTATTACAAAAACAATGGTCAATAAGTTTATGGTTTGATTTTTTTGTGGATAACTATCTATCTATATATTGATGTCAATCATTATCATCATCATTGTTGCCGCCATCAAGTGTTTCGTTGACAAACCGATTGATATAACGATTTAAATCTTTCTGATTGATTGGGATCTTATGCTCCAAACTAAACTCAACGATATCCGGTATGTACGGCAAACAGGCTATCAGTGCCATACCCAGCGATACTTTAGTGATCGATCCGAACCCAAACAATGTCAGCGTTACCGGTTTGGACAGGCATGTAGTGTACAGGTGCTGATACTCGATGTTAAACTCGATACACCGTTTGTCAAATGTTGTTGAGGTTACATAATCTTCAATCAGTTTACGTGTTTTGTCGGCTTTACCTAGTGTTGGCAACAAAAAAAATAAAATATTGTATAAAATAATATAGAGAAAATTTTCTAGAAAGTTTCTATCAAAAATAATAATTTCTATCTATGGGATCCAACCCCCCCCCTCCCCATTTTAATTTTGTTATCTCTAGATATTTGCTATAAAAATATAACCAATACATTACCGTAAATATTATTATTATTTTAATTATTAAATTAATGTAATAATTAATTAATTAAATTATTGTATTTTTTAAATACATTTTTACAAAACTAATTATATATTAAATAATTATAATTAATTAATTAATATATAGCTATTGTATTTGTATAGTACTGTACTATACAATATTATTTTAACTATAGTTAATATGGGGATCCCATAGTATAAAAATAAAAAGTTAAATTTCTATAGAAATTTTCCTAGAAACTTTTTCAGTGAAATTTTTCTAGAAACATTTTTAAGGGAAATTTTTCTAGAAACTTTCTATTTGTTCAATTCTATTAGCTTTACCACTGATATTGCTTGCAGTCATAAATGTTATAATAGCCAAGATTATAAACAGTAGTGTATTGCATACAATAAATGTATAATAAAATATATTATACAATAAAATACTATTATGATTATCTAATGATGGATCAATTTTGACATTTGTATGCAATATAATACCAAATATCGATACAATTATATTGAATGCTATCGATATGTAAAATGTAACGATAAACATGTTAAATGTTTGATCAAATTTTGTAACTTTTGAACAATTATGGCTATACCTGTCAAATATAAATATAAAAAAATAATAATATTATTAGATAAGTATCTATTAAGTTATATATTATAATAATATTTAAAAAAAATTTATATACCATTTAGATATGATAAACAATTGGTCGACTGTTGTATTTTTTGTTTCTTTCAATGATTTAATAAATTGATTTAAATGCCTGAATTTGTTGCTAAATACCAGACAAAATGCCAGATAAATTAATATATTAACCGTTACGATGAATATATTCATAAACATAAATAGGTTTAAAATTTTTTCAATAGTAATTGTCTTGTAGTTGACCACAAGTTCAATATATAGATACAAATTGAATATAATTGAAAACATAAACAGTTTGACAAATGATGTCAGTTTGGGTATTGAATAGATTTTATAGAAATGTTTGATGAAATTCAAATGTAAAGGTATTTTGATGTCGTAGAGTAGGTATTGATGAGAGTTTTGGGCAATTTTCGGACAATCTTCAAGTATTTGGTCAGTCTTATGACAGGTACCCTCCAGTAGGGTTGACCGTCGATAATGATAGCTCGAATCGATGGCCACTACGGCCGACAAACTCCAGACTAATTGGACGAGTTGTTGGCATAGCTCCGACACATCCTTGTTTAGCCAAACTAATAGATAGATAAGCGACGATATGTTCAAAACTAGACATATGTGTGTCAATAGCCAACAATATAGGCGATAGTATAGCCACAGTCGGCGATGTTTGTCCAATAGTTGTCTGTATATGTCGTTTGATTTGAGCCACGGATCCAGTGGTGCACCGAAACCGATGAAAAATATGATAACATTTCGGATCAATCGGTAAAATACTTTATGAAGTCTATCGATACGATACTCGCTGTCATCTAACCGTACGCTTAGATTTTCGCCTATCAGTACATATAATAAAAATTTAATTTAAAATTATTGTTATAATTATTATTATAATTAGTTTTATAAAAAAGTAATATACAAATAATAGTTTGTTTTTTTTATTTAATAATATGTATATATAGTTACCTCTAATTATTTTTTTCACTTCCATTATATATATTTGATTAGTTTATTATATCATATATTTTAATAAATATTTTATTACTTTTATTATAATTATTATTAAATAATTTATTTCAAATATTAAGTAGCAATTATTATTAATGTCAATTATTTAACAAACAAACAAAAATTAAATGTAACTAGAACAGTCTATTATTATTATTGACTTATATTTTTTTATATGTAATAATAATAATAATAATAATTAAAATTATCACAAGTTTAAACAAACTAATCATAAAACTGTTAAATAATGTGATTTCATAATAATAATAGTAATAATGATAATAATAATAATTACTATATTATAATCATTTATTGTTGTTGTTGTCTAATCAATAATAATTACTATTTTTTTTTTTTTTGAAAAAAAATCTAAATTATTATAAAACTATAGTTTCAATGTAATGTATCTATAGTTTTGCAATGTAATGTAAATACAATACAATATATAAGATAATTGATAATTTTATTATATCTATATATAAACTGTATATAAATTGAAATAAAATAACGTCAATGAAAATGTTTACCAAATTAATTGAAATTAATATTTTTTTTTGATGTCATCTTTTATTTTAATCACATTTTTTGTTGTCTTCTAATAAATTAATTATTTGCTATTATTAGTAACTTTTATAATTGAACTTTGAAAGTGTTGGCTATATATAAATTAATATATATATATATATATATATATATATATTAATTATATCAATAATACAGTCTATTATAGTGTATTTAAAGAGCATATCAATCAAATTAAATTGCTAAATAAATATCAATATATATATATTGTTTTTGTATTTACATATAATATACAGTAATATATATATATATATATTTATTTAGTCTATTTATTTACCAACAAATCTAAAGTATGTTTGATACCACTTATATGGAAAAAAATATTATCATTATTATTATTTTAAATGTGCATTAAATTATATACATATAAATATTTTTCAGTATTTATTTATATATATATATAAATAAGATAGGCTTAAGTTGAGAGTAAATAAATTAATATATATTTTAATATATATAATAAATTTTATAAATATTATAATAATATTTTTAATATTTTTAGAGAGTCACAAGATTAGGATTTTATATATATTATATTTTTATTATATATATATATATAAATCAATTTTGAAATCACACTTTTAATGAGTTTAGTTAAGTATATTTTAATGTATTTAAACTTAAAATTACAAGTGGCACTACAATTATTGCATACATTTGATATATACAGGTGATAATAGTGGAAAAATTATTATAGTATTAGTATATAATGTATTTGTATTTTAATACTACAATAATAATACTACTAATGATAGTGTGTGTGTGTGATTTAGTTGTATAATTTTACTGTAAGTATACTGTAGCTAATAATAATAATAATAATTATAATTAAAAACTAAATTGAAATACACTTATAGTTAATTAGTTAAAATAAAATAAAAATTGCAAAAAATCTATACTATTAATATGTTTTGATTTAATTATTAATTAATTTTGTAATAATTGAATATATTTTTAAAAATAAACTATTTATCAATAATATTTTTAAATAATAATAATAATATATTTCTAATATATATTTATTAACAATAATTAATATTATAAACGGAAACTTGATTTAAAAATAATTTTTTATTTTAAATAATTTTAATTAAATTAATAAAAACTATTTTTTTTTAATTTTCATATAAAATGATCAAAATTTATCTACCATTATATTTACTGTTTTAATTTTATATGATAGTAATATTATTATTATGTTGTTATTTATTGAGATAATTAAATTATATATAATATATATATATTTCACGATAGATTAATCTCAAAATGTTTTTTATTTATATTTTTTTATAATGTTTAACATACATATCATAATTTAATATTTTCAATGGATATATTAAACTAATTAACTTTATATGAAAAAATAGTTTTATTTTAATTTATTATTAGTTTTACATTTTTATTATGTATTTATTATATGTTTGATATTAATAATATTGTAATTAACTAGATATGACTTAATTAATTAATTAAATTTACTATTAAGCTAGTTATATCAATATATGTTATTTTTTATAAATCTATGCTAAAATTATTGTAATCAAACATATAATTGCTCCAGGTAAATGTACAAAAAATTGTACAATTACTATTTATTTAATTATTATTTTATATATTATTTAAAATTTTAGTTTTTATAAAATTTATTTAATTAAAAAAAATAATAATATTCATAAAAATAAATAGAAATAAAAAAAATATTATTTTATTATAATTGAATAAAATATTATATAATTTTTAATATCCATTTTTTCAACAAAAAAAATTAATTAAAAGTTTATTTATTTATTTATTCAATATTTGATTTAAAAACCTAACAACAATAAAATTATTAATATTTTTTTTTAGTAATTTTTTTGTGTGTTAATGACTAACAAATTGTTAGACAAATTTCTAAACAATAAATACAATAGAGTTTTGTTTAGTTATAGACTTATAGTAGTATTATATATATATATATAATATTGTAGTTGTTATCGATATAATAAAAAATATATGTAATAAAAATAGCCTAAAAATAATACAGTAAAGTATCTCTCAGTTTTTTAAACAACACATATCAATACACTTGTACTGTACTATACTGTTATAAATGACACTCATGTGACTTATACTGTATGTGTGCAGTAGTACTACATACTTGTCCCGAAAGGATACTTGTCCTCGAAAACCATTGACTTTTAGGGCATATTTTTTTTGGTGTCGACTAACAAATATTGTCGTCAAAAAAATTTTTTTTTTTTATATATATAATACTGTATTTATAAATATATTGGATATATATATATATACTGTATTACACACACACACACACACACATACACACACAGAGAGAGAGAGAGAGAGAGTATGTGTGATGACTCTCTGATGTATAAGTGATGACTATTTGTTTTGTTATATTTTTTTCTCTCACTATTATTTTATTATTATTTTTTTTTGTTGTTATAATATTTGATGTTTTAGTTAGTAAACGACAAAATAATTGTCAATCTATTATGATATTACTGTATATATATATATATACAGTAAGTGTAAGTTATTTTTTTTTATTTTAACGTGTTTTTAATTAATCATATATTTAATATACTTATAGTATTTTTTTTGTTATATTATACAGTACTTAATATACACTGATTTATTATGCAAATTGTTTTCAATAGTATATTATTAAAAAATAATTTATATATCTATATAGTGATTGATTGCATAAATGTAATTGAAAAAATTAATAATAATAAACTTAAAATATAATTTTAAAAAATTAGTTATAATGATAAAATTATTGATATATTTATTCTGCTAATTTGTAATATAATTAAACAAAAATAACTTAATAATAAATTAAATTTTTTTATCATTTTAAAAACTACAAGGATAACTTTATTATTATTATTATTATTTTGTTTTATTGATAAATCAATGTTTTATTTCTCTCTCTCTCTCTCTCTCTCTCTCTCTCTCTCTCTCTCTCTCTCTCTCTCTCTCTCTCTCAGAACTAACCAACAAAATAATAATAATAAAAAAGTTATAATAAATTAAATTTTTTTATTATGTTCATTGTGTGTGTGTGAATGTAACGGGAAATTGCCTTAAATGTCAATATATATAATATACTATAT